CTCCGAGTATTAGGAAGATCACTCTAGCAGTAATATGATGATAAATAAAATGTCTCAAGCAAAAAATTCAGGGGCAAAACGACAAAAGAGCCTGAACTAGGGTAGTAGAACTGGAGAGAAAGCGGTAGAAAGAGATTCAGGATGTAAAATCAACGAAGTTTAGTGGCTGGTTGGATACAGAGAGGAAGATAAGCAGGGGAATCGAGTAAAAACACAAATTTCTGAACTGAGCAACTGGGGCAGTCACCAACAGAATACTGGGGAAGAATGATGATGGCTTCAACTTAGGACTGGTGACTGAAGAACCTGAAGGACACTTTAGTGGTTAGATATATGGATCTGAAGCACATAAAAGAGGGTAAGATGGACTCTATAGTCCTAGGTGTCAGCCTATAAAAATTAAGTGAAGCCAAGTTGCTGAATGTGACTATCCAAATGTATAAAATCAGCAGTTTTAATGAAGAAAAAGTATTATCTTTTTAACCTGAGAACTTTACATAATTCTAAATTTTGTTCTATTGAACATATTTATTGACCATTTAATATATGCAAAACATGGTATTAAAAATAAGCACTTAGGAAGGGAAGTAAACCATAAGAGAGGAATAAGGAGCTCACTCTTAGGTTAAAAATAAAAGTCATAGAGAAAGAATGGTGTTGAATACGGACTAAGTTGAGAAACAGCCAAATCCAAACAATTTTGACTGTTATCTTTAATTTTGGTATAATGACTCAAAAAGAATGCCTCAACAGCTTCTGTTGTTTTAAAGCACTAAGTTTCCCACAGAGTATTTAAGTCTAAAATTTTCCATTTAAAAAAAAATCTGAAAAGTGGAAAAGGAAATCAAAGAACCAACTCAGGAAAGACAATGTGCTGTGGAAGCTGGATCTACAAAGTAGGAGAAATGGCCAGAAAAGTAAACACTGTGTTAGAACACAGCTCTAAATGGCATACTTTACAATACGCTTCTGTGCTTAGTATCTGGTTCACTAGGATTATGCCTGGGTGGATAGTTCCACGTAAGGACAACAGACGGTTCAAAGTAAAGGAACCATTAATTCTGTCCCAGAAACAGAGTTCTTTACTCATTAGTTATGATACAAACATCTGATTACAAGATTATAAGACATTGGGCTGGCCAAGTGGTGCATTGATTAAGAGCTGGCTTGGGATGCCAGAGGGCCCCAGTTCGGATCCCACATATGAGGGCCAGTGACACTGCCCTTCACAGCTAAGATGCTGAACAACAGCTCAACCTGGAGCTGGGCTGCCATGAGTCGCCGGCGACGGCGTAGGCTGCAGCCCCTTTGGCAGTGGGTTGCCATGGGCTACCGTATGTAGCCAGCGTGAGCGGCCGTCCAGAAGCGGCGACTGATCTGCCTCGCCCGGGAAGAGCGCAATGATGGTGCCAGCTTGGGCCAGTGAAGCAACGTCCTCCACAACTAGACTGAAGAACAAAACGACAGCAACTTGTCTGTTCCCCTTCCCCCAATTCCCCAGCGCTGTTCCCATCCCCCAATTCCCCAATAAAAATCTTAAAAAAAAAATTGTAAGACACTGATTCTTACCTATTTGTATATTTTTTCATAATTCTTTGCACCCAGTAGGTATTCAAGGAAAAACAAGCTGAATGAACTGTAATGTATATCCCCTTATATTGTGTACACTTTGTCACGTGGCTTCCAGGATACCACCTCTCTCTTGGTTTTTCTTCCTCTGCACTATTTGTTCCCACTCATTTTCGTTTGCTGGTTTCTGCTCTTTCCCCCTTTGTAGCGATCAAGTGCCCAGGGCAATGCCTTTGGTCCTCTTCTACCCTCTAAGTAAACTTACTACCGTGGTAATTTCATCTAATCTCCAGACGCTAAATATTACCTATAAACTAATGACTATACAATTTCTATCTCCAGTCAAGCCTTCTTTCTAGAAATATAAATTTATATATGCAATTCCTCACTCAACATTTCTAACAGACATTTCAAACATGACACGTTCAAAACTGAATTTCTGATCTTCCTCTCATCCCCCAAACCTACTCCTCCAGCAGCTTTGCCCATCTATCTGATGGCAGCTCAAACTCTCTTTGATGGTAATTCCAACACTCAAGTTACTCAGGCCAAAAACCTTGAAACCACGCTCAATTCTTCTCTCCCTCAAAGCACATATTTACCCACTAGCAAATTACATTGGCTAAACATTCACAACATTTCCATGATTGACTACGTCTCACCACCTGCACTACGAGTTATCATCATCTCTTCCCTGCTTTAACTGATGTTCCTGCATCCTTCTACCCTTGCTCCCATGTAGTCTATTCTCAACCCAGCAAGCAGCCTGGGGGCTCCTTTAAAAAGTTAAGTTGGATATCACTCCTCTGCTTCAAACCTTTTGGCAATCCTTTCTTTCACTCAAAATAAAAGTCAAAGAACTTACAATGATTAGAAAGTCCTACATGTGATGCCCGATCCTGTACCACTGCCACCTCTGACTTCACCTTACTACTCTCTCTTGTTCACTCTTCTACACTCACTCAGAGCACCCTATTATTCCTCAACGCACCAGACATGCTCTCTCGTCTCAGAGCCCTTGCAGTGAATACTCTACGTAAAAAGCTTTCTTCATATATCCCACAGCTAATTCCATCACATGCATCAAGACTTGAATCAAGTCATCTCTACCAGCACACTAACCATCTTATTTAAACTGCTACCCAGCCCTTGCCCCTCATTTCCAATCCCTTTATCCTTTTTTATTAGCAATTATTACATAACTTACCTATTTATTGTATTTATCTGCCTTCTCCCCTCCCCCTTCTACTAGCAAGTAAACACCACTAGGGCAGGCCTGTTTGTTCACTGATTCATCCTGGTGCACAGAATAGTGCCTGCAACTAGTAAGCTTTCAGTGAATGTGAAATGAATACATTTATATCAGATCCTTAAGAGTCCACTAAAAGAATAAGGATTTTCTGAAAACTGAAATAAACTTTGAGAATTTCATCAAATTATTTATCACATATAAATTATCACTGGGATTCAGGCTACCACTTTTTTTTTTTATTGGGGTTTTGGGGGGATGGGAACAGCGCTGGAGAATTGGGAGAAGGGGAACAGACAAGTTGCTATCTTTTTGTTCTTCAGTCTAGTTGTGGAGGACGTTGCTTCACTGGCCCAAGTTGGCACCATCATTGCACTCTTCCCAGGCAATGCAGATCAGTCGCCGGCTTCTAGATGGCCGCTCATGGAGGCTGCTGGCTACATACGGTAGCCCATGGCAACCCAATACCACAGGGGCTGCAGCCTACGCCGTTGCCAGTGACTCACAGCAGCCCGGCTCCAGGTTGAGCTGTTGCTCAGCATCTTAGCTGCAGGGGGTGCAGTGTCACTGGCCCTCATATGTGGGATCCGAACCGGGACCCTCTGGCGTCCCAAGCCAGTTCTTAACCATCACGCCACTCGGCCGGCCCAGGTTACCACTTCTTTATTCATATTTTTGTGCCCCAAATTATACACTCATTCAAAAGCACTGCCAATGAATTAGGCACTTAACACGTTATGCTGTTAGACATCAGGGATCTAATCTGTGTACTGTGGGGGCAGTCATTTAGCATTCCCTTAAACAATGCTGCTGTTCCAGTAAAACAAGATAAAGTACTTAAAGGCACACAATGGCCAACAACTTTGAACAGTTTAGAAAATTTTGTAAGGCTCAAAAATAGGCAATTTCAAACTAGGTAATTCTGCTATTAAAGAGAAGTAGGATTTTCTCATTAAAATGTGAATTTATCACAAGTAATATTTAAAAGAAAAACTAACATTATACATTCCAAGCCTTGCATGACACTTCCTAATGATATAAAAACTATGGCAGATTCACCTGTGCACAGTGAATGCTTTCAATTAGCTCACGACTACATCAAGAATCATCATAGTTAAATTAATACACATGGGATTATAAATGCAGGTCTCAAAAAAGGACTCTGGAAAGTGGCAGTATTTGCCTTGTTTCAATGCAAAGATCAGGATTTCCAACAACAAAGTCTGACCCATCAAAGCTACAATTACGGCTTGAATAATGTCATGTCACAAAAGGTCAACCCAAAGTCACTGAGACCTACCATGCAAAACACTATAAATCTGAAAAAAAATCAAAAGTGGTGTAGGAAGAATTAACCAAAGCATCTCACTTCACTTATTGCAACTACACACAACACAATCCAACAATCCATTCACACTGTTTTTAGTTTTTTCTTTCAGGTTAAAAAACATAAACCACTTATTTCAGCAACTTTTCCAAATCAAAGAAAACCTTCCAACAAAATCTAAGCCCTCTATAGGGATATGCAAGGTTAACAGGTTTTAGTTATGTGCCTGAAAACTAGCCCTCAGGTCAAATGAAAACCATTTAAGCTAATGCTATTACTGCTAACCCAATACAGCAAGTTTTGAATTCCAGCAAAGTGCTGTAAAATTCCCCAATGACAGTCTGAAAAAGTACCTCTAGAACTTATCTTTAAATGCAACATCCTCCACCAGAATTCGGCATGTGACTGGATGCAAAGTTTCAAATTGACTTTGAAAACTTTATCTTTTTTTAAGCACTTGTACAGTATTTCAGGCACCTTTAAAGAGAAGTTCTTTCTTAACATGGCTGTTACACTTCACTTAAAATTTCTACCTCATTTTCAATCTACCTACCTACAGGTGACCTGAGACCCGACCCCACATTTTACCCTAAGAAAATAAAATTTAGTAAATGGTGTTCTTATCGAAAACACTAGGAAGTCACGGGCAAGGTCGGTGTGCGGGCAAGACGGCACTGCGGGCAGGAAAGGCGGTCGTCACCCGCCCGCGAGAAGGGCCCGGCTCGGGGGACACAGAACAGATACCCTGGCAGCAGGTGCGAGGCTCTGGCAAAGAGAGTTGCCGCAAGTTTCGGACCGATAGGGGTATACCATCCGTTGGACAGCGGGAAGCGCGCAGGGGTCAGCCAGCCTTACCTCGGGAGTCCGCTCCGGCGGCTTCTTCTTTAACGCTTGCCTAGCGCCGGGGTCCACGGGTGAGTTCATGGCCGCGGCCCCGGCCCCCGTCTCCCCAGCTTACCCTTAGCAGCACACGTGACAGCCCATTTATTCTAGGTACGGGGTCTGCACCCCCCACTCCCACCCCCGAGAAAGGGAACTCCGCACCGCCGCAGGAACTGGGCTAGATCAAACAAGCCTTCGCAACGCCCGCCCAGGGCCTCAGCCCACGCGCGACTGGCCAGAGAGAAGTCAGCGCGGGGGACGAGGGAGGGCGAGTGCGCATGCGCAGCACGCGCGAGCACGCAAAAGAGCGGCCAAGGGCGTGACTCCGCAGTGACGTAAGACTGGGGCGGTACAGTTAAGCCTCTTCCAACCCTTCGTGAGATTTAAAGACACGTCGCGATACCTCACTTAAACTCTCACGAAATCCTCCTCGGAGGTGCCCCAGCTTCCGGTGGAAGGGCCGGAAACGCGCTATTGGGGCCGAGAGAAAATATCATGTTGGGGCAGAACCGTGGGGAAGGCGTTCTAGGTGGAGTTCTGTGTGCAACAAAATCCGGAAGCTCAGGGCGTGGCCAAGCCCGGGGCAGACCTCTCGCTCTGCAACTCCGATGACCCGCCCTCGGAAAACGTGCGGAAATCGAAGCCGCCATTCGGCGAACAAGGAAGTTCATGTCTAATAAGCCGAACCTGTTGTGGAAGAGTCCCACCGAGAAATACTTGCCCGGTCCAAGACAGACGTTCTGAGATTAGGGCAGAGAAATCAAAGGTTCGCATTTTAGCAGTATTGGCAGCCGCGGTGGCTGCGACCTGCTGGTCAGTTATGCTGGTTCTTAAAGCCAGTCTAGACTGCGTTCACATAACCAAGGCCCAAGGCAGCCCTCCCTTCTTCAACTTGACTCAAGCAGCGAGGCTTAGGGTTGCCTGGAATCAAGAGTGGCTGTTTTTGTACTACAGCTTGCACATTAGTCTGTTTCCCAATAGACAGAATAAAGCCAGTTTCCATTTATTTACTGGTCCATTGGTAAGAAAAAGACCACTCTTCGGGACAGCCAGACACCTACCTGCAGAGGCTGTTTCCACCTAAGATCACTGACAGAATTCAAGAATCCATCCTTCTAGAACAGTTCTTTTCACTATCTCATTAGTGCACAGATGGGCCGCAGCAGTCACAAAAGTGCTTGCTTTGGCGCTGCCATGGGCATGTGTTTTCCATTGAACTTTAAGCTCTCTGAGGTCTGTGTACCACATCTAGGTACATCTTATAAAATCTCTCAGAATTTCTTTAGCTCACTAAATCAATGTGACTTATGATTATGACATTATTCACAGTGATTTTTAAATGAGATGATAAGAGTTGAAACAATATTTTAGAGTAACAAAAAGGGAGAGTTCAGGCTGCATCATTTACCGTTTCTGGAACCTGGTAATGGTTGATGTTGATAAGGGTTTTGTTTTCCGTTGGTCGTTGGGCTTGCTCAAACCAAGTTTACAACATAATGTTAGCACATTTCTTTTTTTTTCAGAGGACTCAACAAAAACCTTACCAGGGAAGTTGTGGCTCAGCCATTCTGGAAAGAAAGTAACTGTGGAGAGATCAGGAGGAACTGCAATGACCCATTTTCAACATTTTTGTGTGTATATAAACATATCCTCTCACAAGTCTACGTAAGAACACAAAGGTTATCCCTTCCATTCTTCCAGGATCAGTTTCCAGAACCACATCAATATTTTGAAAGAGGGAAAAGGATGACCATGAACTTGGACTTAGAGGCAAACACCTGAATCTGTGTCTTTAATAGGTCATTTCTGGTTAAATGACTTAAGTTATTTAATCTCTCTGAACTTCAGTTTCCTTAGTTGTAAAATGGGAATCATAAAGGACATATTGCTTTGGGATTCTCTGAAGATTATGTGAGACAGTTCACGTGAAGCATTTAAGATGTTGCCTACACAATCCAAGAACTCATCATTACTTCTATTATATTCCTTTACCTCTTGTGACTTCTCTAAAGCAGAAATTCAAGTTTGAAGAATTGGATGGGGTTTTTTGTTTTAATGCCAATTTTTTTTTTCATTAACAACTATTCACAAACACATTTATTTAAAGTATTCGTGAAGGGTCGGCCGAGTGGCCTGATGGTTAAGAACTGGTTTGGGACGCCAGAGGGCCCCCGTTCAGATCCCACATATGAGGGCCAGTGACACTGCCCTCTATAGCTAAGATGCTGAACAACAGCTCGACCTGGAGCTGGGCTGCCATGAGTTGCTGGCAACCGCATAGGCTGCAGCCCCTGTGGCAGTGGGTTGCCATGGGCTACCTTGTGTAGCCAGCAGCCGCAGTGAGCGGCCGTCCAGAAGCCGGTGACTGATCTCCCTCGCCCAGGAAGAGCGCAATGATGGTGCCAACTTGGGCCAGTGAAGCAACGTCCTCCACAACTAGACTGAAGATCAGAAGGACAGCAACTTGTCTGTTCCCCTTTCCCCAATTCCCCCAGCACTGTTCCCATCCCCCCAATTCCCCAATAAAAATCTTAAAAAAAAATAAAGTATTCGTGAAGATGTGGAACAACAGGAATTCTCACCAACTGTGGGTTAAGTGTAAATTGGGAAACCACTTTGGGGAAAAAAAAGTATCCAGTAAGGCTAAAACTTAACATATCCTATGACAGTAGGTTCACTCCATGACATATATTCTAAGGAATACTCATGTACACCAGAAAAGGTCAACAAAAATGTTCAATGTTCATATTAGCGAAAAACTGGAAATAACCCAAATGTCCATCAATAATAGGATGGATAAATTGTGGTATATTCACTCATACAGTGGAATGCCAGCTACATAGTACATGGATGATTCTCCATCCATGAGAAAAAAAGCAAAACAAAATATGGAGTATAATTACATATACAAAGTTCAAACACTAGCAAAATTAAAGTATATCACTTAGGGATGTATACACAGATGTAAAACTAAAGAGAAAGCAAGGAAATGATGCTCAAGAAACACAAGTTGGTAGTTAAAAAAATGAGAAGAGGATTATGAACAGGACAGGGCTCATGAAGAAGGGGACTTCTGGGTTGCTAATAATTTACTCCTTGACCTAAGTGATGGTTACATTAGTGTATATTTATTCACTTTTCTGTATATAATATTTCACAAGGAAAAATAAATTAAGTATACAAAAATAACTTTTTAGGCTTTATCATAAGACAGACAGTAAAAACGGTATATTAATATCCAAGGTATCTATACATATCTATATTTAAGCACATTTTCAAAATCTATCTTGTCCTCTACCATCTTGTATTATGCCCTAGTATGCATGGAAAATAGTGAGGAAACAGTGAAAGCTGTAAAAGCTATTTTCAGAGGAAAGGCAACCTCCGGGATAGTATGCTTCAGCATTAGCTTGTTATCTAAAAGGAAAATATGATTCTAAATGCCAATAACATATTAAATTCTAGCATAATAAACACATGGTTTAATCTTTAAAAAAAAACCAAAATGGAACTCCTTACCCTTATTTTTCTACATTATGCTTACTACAACCTGACAACATATTTTTTGCCTATCTCCTCCACCAGTGGGAAATATATAAACTCCATGAGAACGTAAGAGTTTGTGTTATTTACTGGCATAACCCTGGCATCCAGACCTGTGCCTAGCACACGGCAGGTGCTCAATTACTATCAATGAATCAGAATCTCTGAGGGTGGAGTCTAGGAATCAACACCATATTTTGCCATATACAATGCAGTTTTTGACCCAAATTCGTGAGGGAAAAATAAGGATGTCCATCATACATGGGTATATACGTTTTTAATTCTTTTATTTATGCTTATGAGTTAAAAGTTAACTCTAGAAATCAATTAACAATATTCATATGCAAAATAATACCCTGGAATAGGATAATCAGTTTTGTTGAATTTACATCGAACTTGCAACAACAAAAAGTTCTTGGCCTTCTAGGATGTGTAAATACCGTATATTTGTTACCAGTACATAAAATTTCTTGTACCTTGTGTCTGTTCTTGTGTTTTGTAATTATTTGTTACATAAAATTTATTGTACCATAATGTTAAAAATAAATGCTAAAATTCCTTTATAATACAAAAAACAAGTACCTAAATGTAAGTACCTAAATGTAAACAAATAAAAAATTAGAATTAAAAAATTAAAACGCGGGCCGGCCAAGTGGCGGCGCATTGGTTAAGAACTGGCTTGGGACGCCAGAGTGCCCCGGTTCGGATCCCAAATATGAGGGCCACACTGCCCTCCACAGCTAAGATGCTGAACAACAGCTCAACCTGGAGCTGGGCTGCCATGAGTCGCCGGCGACGGTGTAGGCTGCAGCCCCTTTGGCAGTGGGTTGCCATGGGCTACCGTTTGTAGCCAGCGTGAGCGGCCGTCCAGAAGCCGGTGACTGATCTGCCTCGCCCGGGAAGAGCGCAATGATGGTGCCAACTTGGGCCAGTGAAGCAACGTCCTCCACAACTACACTGAAGAACAAAACAACAGCAACTTGTCTGTTACCCTTCCCCCAATTACCCAATAAAAATCTTAAAAAAAAAAATTAAAATATTTTTTCCCCTGAAAGTTTGGTCCAAAAACGTGAGTGCGCATTATACACAGGAGCGTATTATACACGGTCTTTTTCAAAAGCTACCTGGGTGTTTCTAATATGCAATCTGGTGTGAATCCTACTTTAAACTCACTCAGGTTTTGGATTAGTCTGACTCATTTTAATTCCAGCCCCTGTAACACTGCAAAGGATATTGACTTATGAGTGCAGGACCAAATGTGTGATAGAGAGGCATCACAAGTTTCTTGAGGAAGCAATATCTTCCTTATATTTACACAATATTTCAACGTTATTCCCCTTATCAACAATCTTAATCTGAGCACTGAGGTGAACATAAAGACGTGCTTCTGGACTGTCCTTGTTAAAATAGTCACTTGGAAAGGAAGGAAGCTCAAACCTCTTCAACATAATACTCTCCTTAGAATAAATACAGGTTTATTTGTGGGAGGTCTAATCGAACCATGTTCACCCAGACAAAACTATCTGCAATCTCATGGAGACCAAAAGCTCCACCAAAGTTCTCCTGACAAATAATAGATGGGAATTTCATATATTCTTTAAAAATCTCCTTTGAACTGCTTATATTTTCTTTTCTTTAGGGAAGTTTCAAATCTTAAATCTAGAGCAAGCATGGTTTGCACTACAGTCTGCACTACAAAGCAAGGATAGGAAGCACTAGTCTCCAACCTCCACCTTTTCTATCTCAGTCCTTCCCATTCAGAGTTACAATTCCTAAGCCCCACTGCACCTTCATTCAGCTTAGGTTTGGTCCTACTTTCATTCCAACTCTACCTTCCACATTGGCCAAGACACATGAAGAAATCCCAGGTATCTTTATATTTGTCACCACATACTAGTTGGAAACCATTCTGGTTTGAGAGAAAACATGGACCCAGGTAGGAAAGACTATTACCTCAGATTTAATTTTCTATACCACAGTTTTTCATCAGCAAAATCATTCCTCTATGCCTCTCAGAAATGTTGCAATATCTCTCTAAATTTTTGAGGGAAAGGCACATATAGCCACAGGTACCCATTATAAAACTCTAAAATATCTGATGGATGCTTCCCAAATATTTGGTATGTCCTCCCTGCTTTAAAACAAGTGCACTTACTCTCTTTGGTCAAACATAAGAGCAATACATGTAAAGTGATATGAAAACAGGCACTACAAAAGCCCCTCATCTACTCCTGCCTCCTAGCATAACTCTGCTCAAATCAACCCAACAGCCCCCTCAGGGCTCAATCACAGCTGCAGAGCTGGCACTAAGGACTGTAAGAAGAACTGATTTCCCTACAATGTAAATGAAGAGGACAGACTTGCTCTGGGTCACATGCAAAACAGTGAATAAACCAGGATTAGAACCCAAACCAATTAACCAGTTTTTTAATTGTAAAGTCAATAGTAATTTGTATTGGCTACATGTTCGTTTATGTAGCTTTGCCCAGGTTTTAAATGATTGATTTTCAGTTAGTCTTTATAAAAGCATTCAAAGAAAATTTCAATTTGTCCTTATAAGGATTCGATCAAATGTAAGAATATACCAGTATTGTTTTTATGTTTTCATTCATAAGAATATATGTTAAATTCTCCTCACAATTGCTGGGGGCCATAGAGAGAAGGCTGGACAGTACCAGTAACAGTAGCAGCCAAAATTATTGCACACTTGGGGTGTGTCATGCATTAAGATAAATTCTTGACATTCATTATTATACTTGATTCTCACAACAACCTCATAAAGTAGATGCTACTAAATTTCCAAAACAGAAATTTAGGATTAGAGAAGGACATTAATAAACAAGGTAACATGCCTAGAAGTGTCACATTTGGGAAAAGAATCGAGGTGAGCTGACTTCTGAGTCCAAGTACCTTATTAACACATGAAAGAAAGACCAACATCATCCATCAAATTGACATGTGTATTTATTGCACAAATTTCCCCTGGAACTGGGAGGTTACTATAATACAGGTGTACATTTGAGAAATGTATACAGAACAAGAAACAATATGTACATTTAACATATCCCACCATCTAAATAACTTAGAGAAAGCTGAACAATCTCATAAGACACCTACCAGAAATAGGCATTGTGTAAAATCTGTTATTTTTTAAGTGATCATCAAAATTGTATGCCAACTGCAACATAATTAAATCTGTGCTGGTATGTTTATTGCACTTAACATTTTCAAACTCAAAATTAAGACATATTAATAAACGCCAGGAATATTTAAAATCAAACCAATTAGTTTATATACAAGGAAAAATTAGTTTTAAATCTATAACCTAAAAGATCCCTTTTTCATTTCCTATTGCAACAAATAGGTTTTCAAAAATATGTAACACATATCTGTCTGTACCATAAGAAGTTGAAAAAATTATTTCACACAGGCCAAAACTCTTTTCACATTCATCATAATGACCACACCTTAGAGAAGCAGCAGCTCATTGCTTGGGATCTGTGTAAGGAAAGAATGACTATGATGAAGATAATAGAAATTTCAGAAGGGCAGGTAATTATAAAACTCAGGAATCCTATAAGGATTAATGATTCTATAAGAAACTATAAGCCTTTTCCTTCTGAGCAAAGCTTAGTTTTAAGAATAACAGTACCAACAGCCATCCATTTATTGAAGATTACATTTCCTAAATGATAATTAGAGATTTCAAATAGATAGGACTGTGAACAATTTGATGATTAAAAAAGAAAACATGGAAAAACAGACATAATCTACTGCTACATATCATTCTGAACTGTAATAATAATAATAATAATATACGATGGCCCACAAACTTTTCTATATTCTGAATTCTGCGAAAAAGATTGATTCACAGAATTCCAAACAACAGAATAGAGAAGAATTTCATTAATGAATGGACTAAGAATATTAAACCAAAGAAAGTATATCCATAAACACTCCTGGGCAGCAAGTCATCCATGGGAGACTCAGGTACTAACTGGGACCAGCTGATAAGACACAGGAGCCAAACTGATTGCAGGCACACCAATTTCAGGTTTACATTCCATTAAAACAATCATTTCTTCTAGTTGGAGAGTTCTTAAATACATAGAGAGCAAGGCAAAGTGTGACCCAATGCTATAAATTCAAGGTCAAAGACTTAAACCACAGAACTCATCTGTAATTTCTGAAAATTTAAACAGCAAGAATGGATATATTATACAGGAAATGTATTTAGTAACAGAATAAGCAAGTGGTTTTCTTTTTAAAAGCTAATGAATTAATTGTGATAAAAAACAGTCCATGAAAGCAGAAACCAACTTCACGTCTAGCATTAAAAGTATCTTAGACCAGGTAAGTAAAGAATAAACTATAATGTAGTATTCAAGTAAACTGAGGTAGTAGAGCATATTGAAAACTTTATCTACCCATCTTTCTATTTACATTACTTACAAGAGTTTGGTTCCATATTAGCCTTTCTTCTCACAAGCAACACTCTATAGTATTTACAAAAACAATAACAACTGAAAAATGAAAATCTTTGAAAAAAAAAAAGCTTCTGAAAGAAAGCAATTTGACAAAAGAGAATAATTTTAAGAGTTGTTGAGTTCTATTAGTGTAAATTGAATATATAAAGCAGTGAAACAAATATTTAGTTCCTAAGGGTTCAAGGAGGGCACTGATACCGAAAGCAAGGACCTCGGTTACCTGAGCACTTTTGAAGAAAATAGTATTATTTTTCCAATGTGTTGATGTAATTTTTAATTCTAATTTTAATTTATTAAATTAGATGCAAATATGTAAATATTAATATTTATAAGAATTAGCTTATACTTATAAACAAAACAAATGGTATAAAGTAGTATTCTTATTTGGGGAATCTATATTCCTCAGCCTTAAAAAAGATTGGCTTTACTTATATTTTAGGATGTGTGAAACAGAAACATCACCAGAAAGTAACATTTCAATATTATATACAATTAATACTAGTTGAATATTTATATATATGTATATATATGTGTGTGTGTGTGTGTATATATACATATATATATGTATATTTAAAAAGGCATGTGTACCAATCTTCTATTTTTACCTCTGCTTTTTAAAAAACTAGATACATATGTACAGTTGGGTAGATAACATAACACAGATTTATACTCATTCTGAGTTTGTTATAATTAACAGGCTGCTTAAAATACTTTGAGAAAACCCAGAAATTAGCTATTTTGAATTGACAAAACAAAAACAATCAAGGTTTTACAGACCTATGTACCTTAGAAATAAAGAATGAAAATTAATGAAATGACTACTACTGAGCCACTCAATCATGAGACATCCGTTGCTATTTATGAGTGCGGCAACACTGCAATCATTGTATGAAATTCTTCGATGTTACTGATTTTGTAGAAATTTCTAAGTTACACTTTGGCATTTTCAAATACTTTCCCCCAAAATTATTTATGCTGTTTTAGTTTCATTTGGTTAAAAATCTACGACCATCCAAAAGTCCAGTCAAAAGAAAAAAGCCAGCCAATGATCACACAATGTGCACTTCAATGCAGAATACTCAGGTGACTCTCTTAGATGGAAACGTAACAGGAAAAAATATACCATAAATGCATGTTGTGTCTGCTTCCTTGGTTTCTACTTAACTTTCCAAACAACCTTTATTTTAAAGGAGTATCTGAGCAACATATGGAGAGTGAGTACTTGCTACAGCAGCCAGAAGAGGAAGATCACTGGATTCAATTCTGAAATTAAAAAAAAAAATCTCAGTCAGGCTTTCTGTACCCAGAACATGAGTTCTACAGGCAATGACTGCTACCTATAAAGTAATTATACCTCAGCAGTCAACGACCTAGGCCACCCTGACAAAAGAAAAAAGGTAAGAGAGTTGAAGACAACAACAGTTGGAAATTTTTCATTAAGTGAAAACCAGTACCAAATATTTTTTAAAAGGAAAGCATCTGAAACCCAATGGTAAACTCATGGATGTAGGAAAGCATCTATCACTGACCTGCTGATGGACTATGCTTCAGGGCAAGGGGCAATGTTTAATAAATAAAGTATAATAGAATAACAGTGTGCACCCACGTTGTTCTGAATACAAATATTTCTATAAGATATACCAGGAAGATGTAATGGAGGCTTCTTAAAAATACTTCCTAACACAAATAATTTACAGGAAAAGAAAAATGGCCAATAAACATAAAAGATTCACTCATGCAGACTCACTCATGGTTAGAGAATAAATCTAAATAAAATCAGATTTCATTTTTCAGCTAGTAGCTTGGCAAAGATTAAAAAGTTGGTAATAACCAGTAGTACAAAGAGTGTACTTCCCGCTGTTTGTGAGAATTTATTCTGGTACTTTCTGATAGCATTTACTATTATGTACCAAAATAGCTATCAATAGCTATAAAAAATTTAATACACACGCCTTTAAACCAAAAATCCTACTTCAAAGAATTTATCCTACAAACTTCAAAGATTTATATTCATTCTAGTATTAATTTGTAATAGCAAAAAACCAAAATATACAGGTCCTCGAATAATGTCCTTTCATTCAACATCCTTTCATTATAATGTTGATGAGATGTTGTAGGAACATAACTCTTATATATCAATTAGCATATGGTGAAATTGGTTTCATTATATGTCGTTTCGCTTAAAGTTGCAGAACCTATAAACTACATTTAAGTGAGAACTTGCTGTAATCTAAATTCCACCAAATAATGGAATCCTATATAGCCATTAAAAATAACAACATAGGGCCGGCTGAGTGGCGCGATGGTTAAGAACTGGCTTGGGATGCCAGAGGGCCAGAGGATCCCACATATGAGGGTCAGTGACACTGCCCTCCACAGCTAAGATGCTGAACAACAGCTCAACCTGGAGCTGGGCTGCCGTGAGAATCTCCGGCAATGGCGCAGGCTGCAGCCCCTGTGGCAGTGGGTTGCCATGGGCTACCGTGTGTGGCCAGCAGCCAGCATGAGTGGCCAGCAGCCGCCGTGAGCGGCCGTCCAGAAGCCGGCGACTGATCTGCCTCGCCCGGGAAGAGCGCAATGATGGTGCCAACTTGGGCCAGTGAAGCGACGTCCTCCACAACTAGACTGAAGAACAAAACGACAGCAACTTGTCTGTTCCCCTTCCCCCAATTCCCCACCACGGTTCCCATCCCCCCAATTCCCCAATAAAAATCTTTAAAAAAATAAAATAATAACATAGATCAGTACGTGCTTATATGAACAAATATTCATGATACATTAAAAGGCAAGTTGCACAATGTTATACAGAATATAAACCAATTTCCATTTTTTATCCTATATATTATCTGTAAGAAGAAACAATCTATTAACTGTGTTTGTGTGGGTGAGGGTTGAAAGTTGGGGAAAAGACGATGATGACTTGTTTTTCATTTTATGCCAAAATGAACTATAAACTCTGGTTAAATTCACATTACTTTAAAAAATAGTTTAAATTTTTTAAAAAATAAAGTCATTACACAAACAGAATCATCTGTTTCCAATCTGGACAATAAGGAATAACATCAATGAAAGAATTTAATTTGGTTTCTGACATACAGTAGCTACTCGTTGATGTTGGCTGTTTCTCCCTTGGTAAAAAAAAGCTGGATTACACAAAAGTTCTAATTTGTTTTAATATATTAAACTAGCATTTCAAAAAATTATTTTCACATCACACACACTCTCTCTCACACACACACAGCCATAAAACATAAGAAAAGTGATCAAAGAATATAATGAAATGGGCTATACTATGCCTCCCACCAACTATCTGTTCCTCCTTCAGTTAGCATTTTAGATAACTGTCTTCTTCCCAAGAATAACTGCAGAACAGAAAAGACGTAGATAATGGGGAAGGGGAAGGAGTAATAACATGTAGCTAATGTATTACTTACTACCCACAGCATGCTTTTATTTCAATCATTTCATTTGGATGGTAGAGCAGATGCTGGGGATGATAAGTTTCCAACAAATTTATAAATAAAAATGAATACATACTTATTTTTTCTAAGACAAAAATTTGGATTTTAATTCATTTTTATCTGACTATATTCTCCATTTACTGTAATGACACAGGGGACAATGCTTTCCAGATCAGTGGAGGACAGAGGTCTTCTTTTATTATGGTAGAGCAACCCAGTGATAACAGTGTCCAGCTTCTAACAGGAAAAGACACTTAAAAGGAAAAAAAGGCAATTCTGAGGAACATCTCTTGCTTACAGACAGTGCAATGTGAAAGCAAAGCCAGACAAGAAACCATGAACATACCCTAGAACCACTCCCAATTCCTTGACATGAACACGCATCTGCCCCCTCAGGTACTCGGACAGCATTTTGCTCTTGAAGTACAGCTCCTGTAACCGGTCTTCAAGATGCATTACACACTGCAGTTAGGGGGGAACCAAGAACAGGTTAGAAAATGGTTTCCAATTCGAACTGATGACGATTTTCTAAGCATGTTTTTGACAATTCTATCTTGTTATTCCAACATAAAATAAAATTTGTAGCACATTTTAAAAACATGTAATTTTAGAGTGTAAACCTTTTTCTAGCTCATATCAAAGATTTTGACAGTTTTGTTTTTTTAAAAGTGGTAAGTTATACACAATATAAAATTTACCATTTCAGCCATTTTTTAGTGTACAACTGAGAAGCATGAAGTACATTCGAAATGTTGTGCAACCATCACCACTATCCATTTCCAAAACTTTAAAAAATATTTTGATTTTAAATTTGATAAAATAACACTCATAAATTAATATATTTCAAATGTATTTACATAGGGCAGGCCACATTCTCCTGTAGAGTAAAAGGAAAACAGTTGGCAATAGCTCACAGACAATATTCTGTAGTCCTTAGAAGAGAGATGTTTCTAAGCTGGAACATTAAAAACTAAAACACATTTCGTTATCAATTTACTTTCCAATGAAAATTAGTTATTAAAGTTCCTAATAAAAACCCATTTTCGGGCCGGCCGAGTGGCTCAGTTGATTAAGAGCTCGCTCAAGAGTGCAAGCTCTGAGCAACAGCAGTTCAATGCCCAGCCCAAGCTGAGCTGCAGCTGAGCTGCCAACAGGTGGCAGGATGGCTCAGCTAAAAAAAAAAAGAAAAAAAAAAACACCCCATTTTTTTCTTAGAAAAACACAACTGAATGGATTTCTTGGCATACTTTTTGTTTTGTGGTGTATGTTTTTTCTATAACGCTCACGTAAGCTGAAAATGCCTTAAGGGAAGAACAAAATGTTTACAGAACACACACACACACACACACACACACACACACACACACACACACACATAAAATTCATATATATACGTATGTATAATACAATTTACCATATTACCCATTTTTAAGCACACAATTCAGTGGCATTAAGTACATTTACAATGTTGTGCAACCATCATCAATATCCATTTCCAGAATCTTTTTCACTATCCCAAACAAACTGTACCCATTATACAATAACTCTTCATCCATTCCTTCCCCCCCTAGCACCTGGTAATCTCCATCTACTTTACGTCTCTATAAATTTGCCTGTCCTAGATACCTCATAAGATGGATCATATAATATTTGTCCTTTTTTTGTGTTTCGCTTATTTCACTTAGTATAATGTTTTCAAGGTTCATCCACGTTGTATATAGCATGTATCAGATTTTCATTCCTTTTTACGGCTGAAATATCCCATTCTATGTATTACACTACATTTTGCTTATTCATTCGTCGATGGACACAAGTTGCTTCCAACTTTTGGTTATTGCGAATACTGCTGCTATGAACATTAAGGTACAATTGTTTGAGTCCCTGCTTTCAACTAGAAGAATTGCAGGATCACATGACAATACAATGTTAAACTTTGAGAAACTGTAAAACTGATTTACACAGCAGCTACACCACTTTACATTCCCAACAGCAATGTACAAAGGTTCCAATTTCTTGGCCAATACTTATTTTCCAATCCTGGCCAATACTTATTTTTTTTCATCACAGCCATCCTTATAGTTGGGAAGTGGTATCTCATTGTGGTTTTGATCTGCATTTTCCTAATGACTAATGTTAATGATGTTAACATCTTTTCATGTGCCTACTGGCCATCTGTATATCTTTTTTAGAGAAACATCTATTTAAGTCCTTTGCCAATTATTTAATTGAGTTGTTCCTTTGTTAAGTTGTAGGAGTGCTCTATATATTCTGGATAGCAATCTCTTTTCAGCTATATAACTTGAAAAATATTTTCTCCTGTTCTGCAGGTTGTCTTTTTACTCTGTTTATAGTGTCCTTTGATGCACAAAAGTTTTTAATTTGATAAAGTCCAATATACCTATTTTGTACTTTTGTAGCCTGTGCTTTTGGTGTCAAATCCAAGAAATCACTGCCAAATCCAAGGTCATGAAGATTATTCCCTGTGTTTTCTTCAAAGAGTTTTATAGTTTTAACACTTAAGTTTAGGTTTGTTAAAGTTTAGATTTAAGTTTGAGTTCATTTTTGTATATGGTATAAGGGTTCAACTTCATTCATTTTTATGTAGATATCCAGTTTTCTTAGTATGATTTTTTGAAATGATTCATCTTTTTGAAAACCAGTTGACCATATATGTGAGGATTTATTTTGGTGTGCTCTATTATATTCTATTGGTCTATATGTCTGTCCTTATGCTAACACCACACTTTTGATTACTGTCACTTTGTAGTAAGTTTTAAAATCAGGAGATGTGAGTTTTCCTACTTTGTTCTTCTTTTTCAAGATTGTTTTGGTTCTTCAGGGTCCCACAAGATGCCATACACATTTTAGGATGGGTCTATTTCTTAAAAACGAAAAAAGCCATTAGAATTTTTGATAGGGATTGCATTGCATCAGTAGATCACTTTGAGCAGTGCTGTCATCTTTGTAATACTAAGTCTTCCAATTCACGAACATGCGATGTCTATTTATTTATGTCTTTAATTTATTTCACCAATGTTTTGTAATTTAAAGTGTGCAAGTCTTTTGTCTCCTTGGTTAAATTAATTTCTGAATAATTATTCCTTTGATAATATTGTAAGTTCTTTCTTCATTTCCTTTTCAGATTAGTCATTGCCATTGCATGGAAATGCAACTACTTTGCATGATGATTTTATGTCTTGCAACTTTGCCGTGTTCATTTATTAGGTCTATCAGGGTTTTTTTTGTGAAACCTAAGTTTTCTATATATAAGAGCATGTTTTCAAACAGAGATAATTTTACTTCTTCCTGTCCAATTTGGATGCCTTTTGTTTCTTTTTCTTGCCTAACTGCTCTGGCTAGGACTTGCCCACACTATGTTGAATAGAAGTAGTGAGAGTGTTTTGTCCCTCATTTTAGGGGTAAACTTTTCAGTCTTTCACCATCAAGTACAATGTTAGCTGTGGGTTTGTCACATATGGCCTTTATCACGTTGATCTACAGAGGTTTTTAAACTATGCTTTATTATAGTTCTCCTGAGAAGAACTGTGGAAGCTGGAAATGGTGTCTTCGGTCAGAGGTGACCAGCATTATGAAGAGGAGTTCTTCAGAGTTCTGACATGACAATGAGGGTCTAGAATGCACTGGCATTCTGCACAAAGCCTGGGGTATCACATGTCCATCCCTTACATGATGCTAGTCAGGCACTGAATTCAGCTGCTTAAATCAAAGAATACAGGATACAGACATGTACATCCCCTCCTGTCCTATTAGGTTGGGCTGCCGTAACAAAATACCACAGACTCAGTGGCTTAAACAACAAAAATTTTTTTTCTCACAGCTCTGCAGGCTGGAAGTCTGAGATCAGGGTGATAGCATGGTAGGGTTCTACTGAGAACAATCTTCCTGGCTGGCAGATGGCTGCCTTCTCCCTGTATCCTCACATGGTGGCGAGAGTGCCATTTCTCTCATCTAATAACGCCATTAATCCCGCACTGGGGGCCCTGCCTTCATGACCTAAAGCAACCTTAATTACCTTCCAAAGGCCCATCTCCAAATACCATCATAGTGGAGGTTAGGGCTTCAACATATGGGATTTACAGGAACACAAACATTCAGTCCATGACATTCAGTTCCTTCTTTCAGGAAAACAATCATGAAGATAACAGCAATATGTAGGCACATACTAAATAGAGTTTAGTCACTTATCAGAGTGCTCAGTTATTTAAGCCTCACACATACTTACAAAATTTGGAGATAGGTTATGTTTATAAAGCTGAAGAGTGGAATGAAGCAGATTGGAAACAAGAGTGGAAACCAGCACTTCCTTTCCCAATTTATTATCTGTCACGCGTCTCTGGCTACTGGCCACTTGAACAGTCCACTTATCCATATCTGCTATAATACAGACAGCTTCTGCTATTGGTTCATCCAACACTGGATGCTGGAAAGAAAAGGAGAATTCATCTTATGATAAGCAAATGAAGTTTTCAAAGATAATACTAATGGAATGAGGCAATGAACATATACTAAACACAAACAGAAAAAAAGAATATTTAATTCTGAAAGCTACTGCCAAAGAATCCTTGACAGTGGAGGATGGAATAATTAACACAATAACTAATACCCAAAGATACCTTATGAAAATTGTCATGGGTAGAGATTCATTACCAGAACTTTGCATTCTTTAATCCAGAACTTAATTAATATAGTTAAAATGTCAATACTACCTAAGGCAATATTTAGATTCAATGAAATTCCTATCAAACTACCAGGAACATTTTTCTCAGAAATAGAACAGATAATCCGAAAATTTATATGGAGCCATAAAAGACCCCGAATAGCCACAGCAATCTTGAGAAATAAGAACAAAGTGGGAGGTATCACGCTACCCAACATCAAATCATACTACAAGGCTACAGAACTTAACCTTCACTGGTCTTTTGATCATTCATTCATTCATTCATTCATTCATTCATTCAACAAATTTACTGAGTGCTAAATATGGTGCCAGGAAATTGGAAAAAAAATTTTTTTACCTTGAAAGAGCTAAAAATTTTAAAAATAAATAGGATTGGAATTCACATGAACAAGTCAATGGGGAGGTTCTGTGCTAACTAATCCAACCTGTCAGGCATTAATTTGTTTGAGCACCTCAGGGCTATTTCTTGATTACATGAAGTACTTTGCTGACTATGTGCACTAGGTTTCTCTGTTTTACCAACATGTATATACAGGGTGTGGCTATAGTAGCATAATAGTTACAAAGGAGACAAATCAACAGGTGCTAATATGGTAAATAGGAAAAAAAAAGTCAACACACACACACGCGCACACACACACTACCATTTACATTTTTTAAAAATCAGATCTATATCTAAATTAACATGTGTAGAAAAAAGAAGGAAAATATTCAAACCAATCTATCATGAAGATCTCTGTGAAGAAGTATGGAATATTAAGAATATGAAGAAGCATTTCTTCTTTTTGCTTTGTGTATGAATTTCCATCACAAGCATTTACCTAAATGACACTTTTATAATCAGAAAATTTAATGCATAATGAAAAATATTTTTAATTCACATATACTGATCAAAGGACCACAGGCCATGGCTATGCCCTTGGCTTCCCAGGATTTACCCACAAAGACCAACAATGACAAGTACACAGCACCACTATCAGAAAGAGATGATGGCCTACAATGCTCAACACTTCAGCATCCTCCTGTATTTGGAAAGGTAAGGATTTTTTCAATACCGGTCATTAACATTAGCAGCAATAAGACTGAGATTAAAAATTATAATTTGAAATACTGGAATCCAATGGCCTTTTTTCCTTTCTAGATTTTACTGTTATTAGAATTTCATAACTAAAAATGTAAGTTTGCTCCTGAATAAACCCAGGTACTCTCAAAGGATATCCTTTTGCCCCATTAATGAACAACCACTTTGAATAAAGCTTTTTACTCAATGCTAAGGAAACAAAGACAATGGAGCTCATAGTCTTATGAGGAAGATAAAAATAAATATACCTGGCTATAAAAAGACATGTATAACAGATGAAAAAGGAATCAAGTGCTGGGGTAGCAGAAGAGGGCAACAATGGGTTCTGTGTGACTGGGTGTTTCACGGTGGAAGGGACATAGGGATATGACATTGAAATATGGATAGGAATTTGTTGATGATAAATAGGAGAGGAATGTGGATAACTCTGTAAGAGGAAATATCATGAGAAGACTCAGGGATAGAAATAGGTACAGGTACTAAATTTGTGAAAAATGATATTTAGAAGTGTGGGAAGAAGAGAATGGCAAAGAGAAAGCCTGGCGAGATACACTGGGAAGACTCTCCACAGAACTCTAAACTTCACATTTGTTTTTATAAAATGGTACTCAAATATTTGTTATTCGGCTCCTTCAAAGGATATAAAGTTTTTCTATCCCTCAACTGAATTACTGAAATATAATTTTGGAAATGGTATATATTACATTTTTAAGAAACAATTGTGAACATGCATCTTAATGTAAGTACCTCTATGCTTATAAAAGAAAAATAAGACAGGTGGTATGATCAAATATCCAAAGTGGAAGACTAACAAACTGTTAAAGGAAGAGATTAGTTTTATTATTATTATTATTATTATTATTATTATTATTATTATTAGTTTCAGGTGTACAGAACAATGAAATAGTTACCCTTTTCACCCCTCATACAGAAACAATCCCCCTCCCCAGACTAGTTTTAAAAGCAGTGGGCATCTTTAGAAAATGAGAATTATGAAGGGGGTCCATCTATTATCCTCACAAGGAAATGCCTAAACAGATAATGGAGAAACTACTATGAAATATATCTGTTTAAAGGGTTACAAAACCACTATGGGGAAAAAACTTTATAGCTCCTCAATCAAAAGGCATGTGGCTAATATTTTAAAAGGTTTATCAAACAAAATTATTTATAAAATGCATGTTGGTTTTTTTCCTTCAAATTTTTGGTAAGGAAAAGGAAAATGGTCCTACATCAGTAGTCTGCCAAGAGAGAAGGGTTTAATTTCAAGTTTGAGATCAGAAATATTTCCAATCAACTCACTTTAGGAGTTGTTAAAAACAGGCAGGGAGAGGGCAGTGCCAATCGTTCATTCAAAAATCATTGTTTTCACTCAATGGATTGTCATATGCAATATCTTACTTAATCTGATAAAACTTCAGCTTAACCAATTTCACTCTCACCATCAAGTTCTGGAAAAACAGCCTATATCTAAGGGCAGCATTTTCTTAACTGAGACTTCCTAGTGGCCTCCTCCACAATCTTCACTAAATTCTATCCAGCTTCAGATACTCACAAGTCACAAAATGGGAAGTATATGTATATGAAAGAGGAATAGTGAATATAAAGCTTTATTTTTCTTAAATGTCCTTCTCTGAGTTCCATAACATCTACAATACAAATTCATCCAAAATCTTACCAGCATTTTCCTCTCTCAGGAATTTCCAAAATCATAATACATAACCTCCCAAAGCATCAAGCGATCTCCTCTCTAGTGGGTACTTACTCCCTTATCTCCACGCTGTTACCTGATTTTTCAGTGGCCTGCTGGGTATTCAAACATGGCCTGGCAAATTGCACTATTAAACTCAAAATGTACCAAGTCAATCCCAGTGTATTTTCCTCAAAAAGAGCGAGTTTTATTTAATTAGCTTTCTAAAAAATAAAAATGAGATCCCCAATGTTGCAGAGGGAACTGGTCTGAGGGACAACACAAACTGCTGTTCAAACTGGCATAGTCTTTTAAAGAAGAAATTAACCAACATGCATTAAGAACATGAAAATTACCCTAACCTTCAGAACTGGACACTAACTTCATTTCTGAGACTCTAGCTTAAAGAAAGAATCTTCAATTTATAAAACATAGCAACATCACATTCCCTGATTCCCCAGTGCTGTTCCCCTCCCCCAATTCCCCAATAAAATCTTAAAAAAAAAAAAACATAGTAACAGTATCTGTGTTATTTATAATGGTAAAAGGAAGAAAACTTCTTTAAAAAGATGAGCAATAGAGAACTCAGAAATAAACCTATGCATATATGCTCAATTTATGACAAAGGAGCCAAGAATACACAATTGAGAAAAGATAATCTCTTCAATAAATGGTTTTGGGAAATTGGGACAGCCACAGACAAAGAAACTGGACCCATGTCTTAGACCATACACAAGAAATCCACTCAAACTAGATTAAAGATTTGAACATAAGCTCTGAAACCACTATGCTAAATAAGTCAAATAAAGAAAGACAAATACTATGTGATATCTATTCTATGTGGAACTAGAAAAAAAGTCATAGACACAGAGAACAGATTGGTGGTTGACAGAGGTGGGGGTCGGGGTAGGGGATATGGGTGAATGTGGTCAAAAGGTACAAACTTCCAGTTATGAGATAAATAAGTTCTGCACATGTAATGTACAGCATGGAGACTATACTTAACAATACTGTATTGTAAATTCAAAAGTTGCTAAAAGATTAGGTTTTAAAAGTTCACATCACAAGAAAACAATCTAACTATATGAGATGATGGATAAATAAACTTATTGTGGTAATCATTTTGCAATACATACATATATCAAATCATTATATTGTATACCTTAAACTAATATAATGTTATATATCAATTATATCTCAATAAAATTGGAAACAAATAAAATTGAGCAATAGGAGAATGGTGAGAAAAATTAACCATATGACAAAACCAAGAAATAATCAATAAACATAAAAAACAATGTTTACAAAGTATGTTAATATGGGAAAATTCTCTTACATCAACTGTTCAATGACAAAAGCAGAATTCAACAGTACCCATACACACACACACACACACACACAACCAGTACAAGTAATATGATACATATGTATAGATGCATGAGTATATATATGTATATACACAGACACACATACATTTTATGTATATATAGTACATATAAAAATACATTTATATATAAAAACATAAATTTTAGTGTTGTAATGACATAGTAGAAAAATTATGGTAAATCTACATAAAAACAAAGTTTGTAAAGAAAACTTCTCGGGCCAGCCGAATGGTGTGTTGATTAAGAACTGGCTTGGGGGCCGGCTGAGTGGCGCGATGGTTAAGAACTGGCTTGGGATGCCAGAGGGCCCCAGTTCGGATCCCACATATGAGGGCCAACTTGGGCCAGTGAAGCAACGCCCTCCACAAC